TACCTTACCCCACCCCCTTCCAGGCTTTCCAACCAAACAAGGGGGATGTACAGACAGTCAGGCAGAATGGAAAGACACCTCTCATCAGCTTCTTGGCACGGCATAAGGAGCCTTGCTTTAACTGAGGTGGAGCCAGGAACCCAGCTGGCAGCAAGCTTTGTGCTCCTTCCTGCCTTGGGAACTTTGCATGACTAGGCTGCTCCCTCATAATAAGCAGGGCTGTGTCCACATCACCTTCTTGGTGACATTCCTGACTCACCAAGGTGACTAAATCACCTTTCTTTAGTTTTCTGTACACTAGGGTTTTCTGAGTAGTATTTGTGACCGATCTCTCCTCAATCCTCCTTGCCTATCTGTCAATAGTCCCTAGTCACAAGCAGTTACTGACCAATGAAGTGTAGGAGGGCTGTTAAGAATAGAGCTGGAGAGATGGCTCAGCAGTTAAGGGCACTTGTTACTCTAGCAGAGGACCTGGGTTCGACTTCCAGCACCCACATGGTGGCTTACAATTGTCTGTAACTCCTATTCCAGGGGATCTGATTTCCTCTTCTGGCCTCTTCAGGCACCAGGCATATGCATGGTACACAGACATACATGCAGGCAAAACACTCATATACATAAAAGATAAATAAATCTAAGAATTAGTTTTTTATTGTTGTTGTTGTGTTTTTTGGTTTGTCAAGACAGGGTTGCTCAGTAGCTTTAGAGCCTGTCCTGGAACTAGCTCTCGTAGACCAGATGGCCTCAAACTCACAGAGATCCGCCTGCCTCTGCCTCCCAAGTGCTGGGATTAAAAGCATATGCCACCACTTTCCAGCTAAGAATAGTTTTTAAAAAGAGTAAAATACACACCAGATTGTAAAAACTTAGTGGAAATAATGGCTACTACATTTAAATTACATATTGCTATTCTATTTCTATGGGCCAAAAATGAACTAGAGGGTGCCCGGCACATAGGAGACAGTCCACAAATATTTGTTGAGTTAATAGAGTAATTCTAACCACTATTCCACTGTTTTCTATTGTAATCCCTTTACAATAGCCTTATTCAGTCTGAAAAGAGGGTAAAACTCAGGCCTAGTGTCTGGCCATTTTAGCAGTAGCTTGGCAGCTCTCACCAGCTCTGCCAACACCCCTACAGCTGTCAATCACTCAGGGAAAAACTGCTCTCGAACAGATTCCTGTTAAGAAGAGGGAGTCTGGTCACAGATTGCTTTGAGATTTAACTAGAAGGCATCAATGGAAGAGAGCGGAAGCTATAAAAAGATTCAAGAAGAAAACAGTAGAGGCCATTTAAACAGAATTCTGTGAGGAAGATAACTCAAAGGCTTTATCTATCTAGATAGAAACCAGGAGAAGAGCTGCAGGCGACACCTATCCCGAAAGCCTGGCTACTGCAAACAAAGAAATGTCATTTCCTAAAAGCAAAGAGGACACCACCCCAGGGAATACCCGCCTATCAAACATCCCACCCAGCACTGCAAGCCCTGGGGCGCATCCGAGTCCTGCAGACCTAGGTGAAGCTTGAACTTCACTGGAGCAAGTCTGAGCCCTAGGCCTTGACTCCTAGGACTGCCCTACCGAAGCTGCCTTTAAACCCGGGTATTTGGGGACCCTGGGGTCTGGTAATAGACCCTCTCTCCCCAAAATGCATGCCACTTTAGGGAGAAGCCCCGGGGACTGTAGGTCTAATGTTCCTGAGCCACTCTGCGCTCTCCAGGCGGTCAGGAAGTTCATCCCAAGCTCTCTCTTTTCCAGCTTTCATGGTGACAGCTGTGGACCAAGGCAGAGCCAGGACTGAACCTCACCCACCAGGGTGTCGGGTCCTACGTGTCACCGCGGGGCAGCGTCCGCGGCCCAACCCGTTCCCAGGCACCCACCCAGCGGCCGCTGCTACCTCCCGAGCCGTGGCGGACAGAGAGGCCACGGCCGCAGGCGACCCGGGCCCAGCACCCTCGGCATGAGCTCGGGAACCCGGCCAGCCTGTCGGCCGCCCTCTCCGGTCCCTGCGGCCGAGCGGGGGACGGCGGGCGCCGCTGACAGCGAAAGTGAAACAAAGCTGAGCTCCCGCCTCGGTCCCCGCCCTGCCGCCGCTCCCGCCGCCGCGGTACTCACCTCCGGCCTCCATGAGGACGCGCGGGCCGCGCCAGGCGGCGGCGGGAGCCTCAGCCCCCAGGGCCGCGGGCCTTCATTCCGCGCCCGCGCCGCCCGCCCCCTCCCCGCCGCCGCAGCTGCTGCTGCCCGCAGAGGCCATCAGCTGCTTCCCGTCACATGGCGGCCGGCGGGGGCGGGGCCGGGAGCGCGCAGGGGATCGCAAGGCTGCGGGGGCGTCGGGTGGGCCGGCGGGACTGAGGGGAACGCGAGGCTGGGGGGACGGGGGACTGAGGGGAACGCTAGGCTGGGGGAACGCTGAGCGCAGGGGACGCGGGGCAGGGGGAACGCTGAGCGCAGGGGACGCGGGCAGGGGGAGTGCTGAGCGCAGGGGACCCTGAGCTGAGGGGACGCGGGGCTCGGGAAACGCTGAGTGGAGGGGACGCGAGGCTACGGGGAGGGGGGTAAGTGGGGCTGGGGGACGTGGAGCGGAGAGGACTCGGGGCAGGGGGAACACAGCGCAGGGGGAAGGTTGAGCTGAGGGGACGCGGGGCTAGGGAACCACCGGGTTAAGGGACTCGAGGCGGGGGGGGGGGGGGGGGGCGTGAGGCCGGGAGGGAACGCAGGGACAGGGGACTGACGCAGAGCTGAAAGGAATGCGGCGGCGACGGGGGTGGTGGTAGGGGTGGGGGGAGCGTCGAGCTAAAGGGACCCGGGACTGTGGGAATGTTAGGCAGGCGGAAAGGCAGGGTGAAGGGACCCGAGACCGGGGGCTGGGGCAAGGCGGACGGATACGGGGTGTGTGTGTGTGGCGGGGGGACTGGTGCTAAAGGACCCCTGGCCAGGGCAAAGGCCTGAGCGGCGGGGTTGGGAGGGTAGGGAGCAGGCGCGAACTTGACTGGGCTGAGAGGAAAGTGGGATTAGGGGTAGAGGGAAAGGGAGAAGGGGGAGCCAACAGGAAAGAGGGGTGAAACCGCGTCCAGTATGGAAATTTGTCCAACTAAAACCCGAGGTCTGACTGAGGGTGTGTGAGTGTGTGTGTGTGTGTGTGTGTGTGTGTGTGTGTGTGTGAAAAGATCTAAAGTGAAAGCCCAGAATACGAGCAGATGTTAAGATGGGCGAGGATCGGGTATGAAGCGGGGAGACCTAGGGGCTCAGGGAAGCTGCTGGCTTTATGGTGCGGGGTGTTGACTATGGGATCTACCCTGCTGAAGGAGCTGGGGATCATGATGGAGGTGGAGTGCCGCCTTGGCAACGTTCCCGAGGGAGGGATGCTGGAGAGCCTGGCTTGGGGGAAGTGGGGGGGGGGGGGACACCTGGGGAGGTGAAGTTAGAGTCAAGGCTTAGCTACACTGTTGGCCGAGGCACCCCCATCTTTCCGAAGCTCCCTGAGATTCTCTGCATGTCCTGACACCCTCGGGTCCTGGTTATTTCCTAATCAGTCCAAATTCTTTAACTTGGAGCCAGGAAAAAAAGAAAGTATGGGGGTGTAGGTTAGTAGTTGCTTTAGTTCCTGCAGTTAGCTGGCCTTGGGTTTTCTCATTTGGGCTCTTATTGTTGTCCCAGGTAGTGCCCTGTCACCACCCCCACTCTCAGGGTCGCTCAAGTCCCTTTTCCTGTTCCCAGACTGGACTTTTCTCAAAGTTCAATCTCCCGATTTCCTTTCCATTTGAGTCACATGGTTCTTTTAATGTGGAGCCGGGGGAAGGAAAAATGGTGGGTTTAGAAGTTGCTCTAACACGCTTTGTGAGTCCGAAACCTTGTCTGCCTTCTTCCTTTGTAAGCTTCTCTTTGACTTACCTTTTAGTCGGGGCACACTGTCATCTATGACCCATTTCTCCCCAGTCTCCTGGAATAACCCGCTGTTTACCAGTTGTCTGTTTGAGGACCACAACCACCACAGACACATCCATCCATCCTCCCTCTTGTTTTCTACTGCCTGTCCCTCTCATCCTTTTTTTCTTAACAGCCCCCCTTCCACCCTAAGGCATTTTTTCTTTGTCCCTGATGTCCTTCCCATCTCCTTAGATCCCAGTTCTACTCTTCAGACTCATTTCCACTACTCTTCCAGTTCTCTTTAACCTGCCTTGTTTCCTCCAGTTCTACCATTTCCTTTTCATTCTTGCGTGTGAGAATACACATCCTTGTGGAGGCCAAAGGTACTGTTCCCAGTTGGTTATTTTATTACGTGTTTGTGTGGTGTTTTGCCTGCTTGTGTCTGCACATGCGTGCCTGGTGTCCAAGTAGACCAGAAGAGGATGTTGGATTCCCTGGAACTGATTGACACACATTATGAGCTCTGACGTGGGTACTGGGAATTGAACCCAGATCCTCTCAAAGAGCAGCCGGTTCTCAGTAAACTAAGCCATCTCTCCATTCAAATATCCATTTCTTGGTGTCTTTAGGTTCTCATTTTTAATGTTTTTCTTGTCTTTATTTTGAGGTGCTGGAGACTAAACCTAGGACCTCCCCCATGTAAACATTCTGTCAGCGAGCCACACCCTTTCCTGTACTTAGCATTCACTGTGTACAAGTCATGGAAAGTCAAGTGGGAAGAATGACAAAAACGAAACAACCTTTCTTGGCTCTTTTCCAGGTCATTTTTGTTCTTCCTTGGTTTTCCTTTATTTTGTGTTTGTATGCAGCTAAGTGAGGGAAGCCATGGTGTGCATGGGGACATCGGAGGACAACTTTTGGGACTAGGTTTTCTCTGTCAGGCTTGCAAATAAATGCCTTTATGGGTTGAGCCCTGATTGATTTTTTTTTTTTGAGACAAAGTCTCTTTCTGTAGCCCAAACTGGACACAAGCTCATAGCAAACCTGCCTCAGCTTCCCAAGTGCAGGGATTATGGGCACAACTATCCCCCAATCCTTTACTATGTCAGGTGTAAATCAAGATCACTGAAATATCTGTTTAAAAAATAACTTTATTCCAAAATCCTTTAAAATTCATGACCTTAAAACTGATTTTTTTTTCAAATTTCCCCTATTGAATGGTAAGATCAACCACACAAAGCCACCTGCAGTTTGTTTTTTTTTTTTTCAGCTGGCAAGTCCTGTGTTGAGAGATTTGATTGGCACTTAGAGTACAAAGTTGTACCCACCAAGGATGACAGTCCCATGCTCCTACAACTGTGAGGAGTGGAGCCAATGCCGAAGCACAGGGCTGCAGAGCCCTCTCCATGTCTGCTGGGGTTGAGGGATCAGTGTGATTTCAGCAACCCTGAAGGGGTGTTCTTCCTGGTTCAAATGGATCTCCTGAGTTAACTGATACTTGCAGATACGTTTGTTTGTTTGTTTGTTTGTTTGTTAAGGTCAATGCACAAAATGGACTTCCCCATACAAAGCCTGTAACCCATTGTCCATATGCCTTGAGATCTGGGTATGGATTGTGTTAAGGAAGAAGGGGGTGAGGTCTCCAATTTTTCACAAATCCTTCAAACATGAAGCCCTTTAGTGCCTGGCTATTAATTGATTTGCCATTTTATAAATGTGCACACAGGCTGATAATAAAAGTGACAATGATAACTGGTCAGGGCTTCATAACAGCATTTGGCACCAAGCCCTTGAAGCTCCCATTTGCTGGTGGAAAACCCTCAAATATTTCCTACTGCCAGGTGTGTGCAGAAGAGGAAGCTGTGGGAAGCACCCGGGGAATCTCGCAAAACATTCACCATGTTCCCAGCTACAACTTCCCCTCTAGCTAGCGTCTCCTCTTTTAAAGTTGCCTCTGAGTCACAGAAACTCAGAAGTTCTATCATCAGACCACAAAGGAGAGGCCAGCTTCTAGGACTGAAGGCACCCTGAGTATCCCATCGTGAAATGACAGACTGGAGTAACCCAGTGCATGAGGTACCACGAAGCAAGAGAACTGCACTTCTTCACCGCCATTCCCAAGGACTCAAATTCAGAGCCAGCTGAACTTCCCAGAGCTCAGACTGGCCACACAGGCAGTGGCTTCAGTTCAGAGCAGCCAGCCCCTCCTGCACCTTGCAGGTATTTCTGCTAACCAGCTCCTCAGGACTCCTGGGCCCCGGAGTTACAAAGTCCTTAAAGCCCTAGACCTTGTCCTGTCTGGCAGGATGTGCACAAGTACAGAGTGCAAATTCCAAGTCAGATTTCTCATGGCTAGCACATACCTATTGCACCTTTAGAAGATCCCTGACTTCAGAATATTTAGATGAAATTTTAAAAAAATCCCCAGAACTTAGCTGTCCCGAGCTAAACTCATCACCCACTATTTTCTTTTGAAATTTACTGTCTTCAATCAGCGCATCATCCTAGTAAGTAGGAAGAGAACACACATTCCCACTTCTGTGACATAGAAGGCTAGAAGGAACGGTGTGTGTCCCTCTCTAGGACAAAAAGAATAGCTGGGGTGGGCAGAGCTGGCCCCAACAGCAACTCTACTGAGCATCCTCCAAACACCTTTACACACTATACTACTACCTCCTTCGTTCTCAGGAGCTTCAAAAGTGGTACTGTTTCATGGTTGTTCTAGATGGGGAAGCAACAAGGAAGAAGCCTCATTGTGTGACCCCCTATGTCTAATTCAGCTGCCTCCTCTCTGGAAAGGGTCTGGCTCCTCACCTCAAGAGTGACTTTAAAATAAAAAAAAGCCCCACCACCACGTTCCCCTTTGTGTTGGGCAAGCTGGTTGCACACCCTGAATAGTGGCATGGCGCACAGACACCAAGTGAGAGCCCCCCATCAGTGTCTGTCCCAGTGAATTAACATGGGTAGAGCTGGGTGTCACAGCAAAGGGGCACCTTAGACACCACTGTAGCTTTGCCCTTCATGAGCTGCTCCTTCCAGTGCCTTTCACATCACATGAAGTCAGTGGGAGAAGACGGGAGGAGAGATGACAGCCTGTGCTGGGAAAGCCCAGCAGTCACAATGCAAGCTCCCAGGCGGCAGGGAGAGGGCAGTCAAAACGGAATGAACTTGCACGACCCATTAACAGTGAACTATCTTCATCAAATGGGCTTGTCTTCCTCCTGAACAGTGTCACTTAGCTCTTCATCACCGTCATCTGTTCAGGGGCAAAAGAGATGGAACCAAATGATCTCAACATCAAGGGGGGTTTTACCATCTGTCTGTCTCCTGTCATCTTGGTGACTTGTGAGCCACAGAATTGGATTTTATGGAGGAGGTAGGGTACATAACAATCTCCTTTGTTCTAGTTTGTGTTGTTGGAGACAGGGTCTCATGTAGCCAGACTGGTCCCAAACTCACTATGTAGCCAAGGATAATTCAACTTTTGATCCTCCTGCCTCTGTTTCCCAAGTGCTGGCCTGCACAACCACACCTGTTCTCTGAATTCAGAACCTAGACAAAGCCCGATGCTTGTCACTCAACAAGCTCCTGCCTCAAGCATAAATGACCTCCCTCCTCTCTCCTCAACTGCCCTGGGAGATCTGCCTCAGGGCCACTTCTTCCACACAGAGCCCCCAATCAAACTACCCCTCCCAGCTCTGGTCTTCTTTCAAGGTCTTGAGATTTCTGTTTGTTTTTCAGGGTCTCTCTAAACTCACAGAGATCCGCCTGCCTCTGACTCCCCAGTACTGGGACTAAAGGTGTGAGCCACCACCGCCTGCTGGTCTCAGTATTTTTAAATGTACCAACCAACCATCAGAACTTGAGCACAGCACTCCGTGATCTTTCTCTCAGAACTTAGGTAAATTTTACTTCCATTTTAATTCCTCCCCCACCCCGATTTTTATGCATTTAGCCTGCTGGTCTTAGCTAGCTACCCACTCACGGATAATACAGGGCTTTCTTTCCTATTCAACAATCCCCATACTGTGTCTTCCCCCACGTACTTTGTTGGATGTTTCTTCTCTGTGCTGGTAGTTAATACATGTTGATAATCTTACACTAAATGCTCGGGACCATAAGTGATATGGACTTCACATCGTGGGTAATTTGCATGTATAGAATGAGAATCCATGGGATGGGGGCCCAAGTCTAAACATGAACTCTGATTATTTTATAGTTTCCTTAAATAGGTCATTTGTAGGTAATTGCAAAAAATTTTATGGGTTATTTAGTGTGGGTAGGTGGAAGTCAGAGGACAACTCTGAGGGGTGAATCCACTCTTTGTACTAGAGGCTGAACTCAGGTCGCCGAGGCCTGGCAGCAAGAACATTTACCCGTTTAGCCATCTTGCCAGCCCCATTTTATACAACATTTAAAATAATCTCATGCATGAGATAAAGCTCAACTACGCTGACACATCAGGCTGTGACATGCTTTGTTTTGGGGATGGAGTACTCAACCTAGCATGGAGTTTCAGGTTCTAGACTAAACCTGAGCTAGCTCACTTCCTGCTCCTCAGAGACACCTCCCAGGAAGCTGATGCCACGGGTCTGAGCATCTAGAAGGCAGGCAAGCTTACCGTGCAGCTCCTGGAGTCCGTTCCCCATGCGGTCTAAGTTCCCATTGACCAGTGCAGTCACTCTGTGGATGTGTCCATGCTTGCACGTCTCTTTCGGCAACTCCTCGCTCTCATTTGTCTCCTGCTCTTCCTCCCCAATGTCCTCCTCCTCCTCCTCCTCCTCATCTTCCCCTTCGGAATCCACCAAAACCATGACGTCACCCATGTCCTGCCCCCTAATTTCCAAAGGAGAAACAAATAATCAGGATGTCATCTATCTCAACTCAAGCCCCAGACACCACCAGACTCCTTGCAGTCCTCTTCACGCAGTCAGCATGGCTTGGTCATGAGAGTGAGGTTGTAACTTCAGGAAGAGATGTAGTCACAGTTGGTGAAAGATTGTGGCCATATCTTTTGTAAGGTATTTGTTTATATGCTGTCCTGGGCATCTGGCACTGTGTTTCTTAACACTGGGGGTGTAGCAATGCTGCATTCTGAGCTGGGAGTGTAGCTCAGTAGCTGGAGTGCTTGCCTAGTATGTATGCATTGTGGGGTATGCCCACAGTTCCAGCACTTGGGAGTGGGCACATGAGGATCCAAAGTTCAAAGTCATCTTTGGTCACCATAGTGAATTTGAAGCCAGCCCAGGATACCTAGGAACCTTCTCTAAAGAAAAAAAAAAAAAAAAAAAAAAAGGAAAATAAAAACAAAGCTGGTTCTGTCCTAAAATGCCCTTATTTCTGTCTCACTCTTGAAGATCTCTCCTGATCGTCTGGTTGGGTCTTCTACTCTCCACCTGCATCTGAGTTCTATGCTCAACAACTTGGTGTGGGACTGCGCTTGGCTCACCGTGCCGCAGCCTGCCTCACCCACCTACACGCTTCTTACAGAGGGAAGGTATACTTTAGCCACCCACGACAACACCACAGCACCCACAATTCACCCTCCTCACACCCTCGGTGAGATGCATGGAGGGGATAAAGGCTCAGAGGATCAGGAATATTCCATACAGAAACTGGGAACAGCAACTGGGGCCCGGGGTCATGGTTCCAGTAACTTTCCACATTGCCACACTGGTATCGCCTGTGAAAAAGCCTGGGAATGATAAATTTGCTGGGACAGTGGCCCTCAACAACAGTGGCAAAGGGAATGGTTTCCCATGAAAGATGGTTCTGGAACAATGAGACTCCATTGTGAGGAATATGAAAAAAAAAAAAAAGGACCTACTTTCTACAGATCATAAAGAAGAATTTTTTCTACTGCCCAGCATCACCTTGGGAAGTAAAATATACAAATTCTATTTGTTTACTTTTTCCTCTCGTGTGAGGGTGGGGACTTCTGGGCATGTTGAAACTTGTCTTCTAACACATTCCATGAGCTTAAGACTTGGTCTTCCTTTTGCTCTTTTTAGAAAATGAAATAAAGCAAATGCCTGGGTAACCTGGCTCATGGATACACACGTTTCATCATGCCCAACCCATAGGTTGCCACTGTAATGGAGCACAGGACTCTGGAATCCATCAGACCCAGGTCAGAGGGCAGACCCTACCATCTGCTTCCTGGATTCACTGGCAGATCCTAATCACTCCATTGGGTCTCTCCACCTTCTCATCAGTAAAACAGACACATGTACACACCCACCTCAGGATGTCACCAAGATGGGGAGTTTCCCACAATGCCTAGGGAAGCCCAAGGTCAGGGACATGGTTGGTCCTATCAGAGTAACTATTATTGTTCTTATGAAAGCAGCAGTGATAAGCAATGATGGCAGTGGGCTTTGGATTAGAGCCCTAAGAACACTCACCTGAAAGTGCTCCCTGCTGAAGAGAGAAAAGAAACAAAATTAAGCATCATGTGCATCATTTAAGTCTCATCAGAGCTGTCAATCAAACCAGCAATGGCTGAGGAGATGACTCAATAGTATGAGGACCTGAGATCAAATTCAGATGCATGGTTGTATGTACCCAGAACCCCAACACTAGGTGGGGAGAGAAAGGTGGAGCCAAGGAGCTTGCTGGTCAGACAGCCTAGCCAAAGGGAAGAGAGCATCCAGTACATGGAGACCCTGTCCCAAGCCAGTAAGGCAGAGTGATAGAGGAGGTTGTAAGCCTTGCAGCTCTGATGGAAAGGGATCCCGGCAGTTGGGAGCCAAGGAATACTAAGGGCTACAGCTTGGATGGAAATGTATTCTGGCAGCCGGGGCCAGGAAATACTGTTACAGCTGGGATGGGAGAGCGCTCTGGCAGTCAGGAGCCAGGGAATAGCACCGGTCACAGAGAGCAACAGCTCACAGCTCTGGTCTAAGGAAGGTTTCCCCAATGTAACAGCTCTGCTGAAATTGTTACAGTTCAGCTTGGGGCCGGGAAGTGTAACAACTCCACTCTGCTAGGGGAAAGTTTCCCAAGTGAAAGTGTTACTGCCCCCTCAGGTGTCTCTGCTCCCACCAAAGAAGGTCTTCACCCAAACTTCATTCAAGAGATTTCTTGGGAGGGAAGAATCCAGGAGAGTGGCTGCCTCTACCAGGGTGGAAAAAGAGCAGCAGCAAACTGAACAGGCACAGGGCTTATACAGGGCTTCTTAGGGGCAGAGTTTTTCCAGGGAGAACATTTGCAGGGTGGGAATTGGTTACATCCAAGCAGCTTGGTTTCAGGGCCAACCTCTGTTTCTTTCTCTGGTCTTTTTTTAGCTTTTGGCTCTGGTTTTGAGGCCAGGGCATATTTCTTTCCCTGACTCTGACTCTAGGGACAAAGTGTGCTTCTTTGGCCCAGGTTTCAGGGTCATGGTGTATTTCTTTGGTTCTGGGTCTGGGGCTAAAGAATTTCTTTGGCTGGCTCTGTTTTCAGAGCCAGGGTGGGCTTCTTTGGCTGGCCCTTTTACCCTACAGAAGCCATTCCAGGTTCTGCTGACTTCTACATAGACACACATGGGTGCTTACACCCACACATTCCTGTGCATACAACATATACACAGAGAGAGAAAATAATAAATATATAATTAAAGATTTTTTAAAAAAACTAACACTGATAAAAGATGAACAAGTGAGAAACATTCTGAATGTGTGGGGATGATACTTAGGGACCTCATTATTATACACATTGCTACAATGAAGCACTATAGGCTAGGGCAATAGATGGAAGCTGGACATGGAGTTTTCTTCCTACACACAGCTTTTCAAATTATTACTTATTTTTATGGATATGAGTGTTTGCCTGCATATATGTCTGTGTACCACATACATGCCTGGTATCCAAGGAAACCAAAAGAGGGCACTGGATCCCCTGAAACTGAAGCATCAGACAACTGTGAGCTGCCATGTGGTTGCTGGGAATTGAACCTGGGTCCTCTGGAAGAGCAGGCAGTGCTCCTAACTGCTGAGCCATCTCTCCAGTCTCCAGCCCACCCACAGCTTTTTTTTGAAGTCTGAAAGAGAAGCAGGGGGACTCAAGGGGCTCTTACCTTTCCAGCAGAACACAGGACTATAATACAGCATAAGCCCTGCAACAATAGCCAGTCCCAGCAGGAGGAGGCTCACCACGGTCGCCACGATGCCCCCGACATTCAGAGGTTCTGTAAAGAGATCACACCTCAAGCTCTTTCATTTGGTCATACAAAACCTCCCCTCTTCAGCCCCAATCTGCTTCTTGGCCTGTCTTGGTTTCATGTCCCTGTGACCACTCCAAAACCAGCCTCAGGCGGAGCTACTTTCAGAAGTCAAGACGCAGCGGCATGAAAGAGAACTGCAAAGTTAAGGGGCACTGTGTGGGGCAGACGTCGGGACTGTGGCCAAGGCCACAGCGAGTGAGGGTGGGAGTTAGAGCTGTGGCAAACAGGCTCCATCAGTGGGATGACCTTGAACCTCCACCTCCCCGAACGCTGGGATTTCAGGCAGGTGCCACCACACCCAGTTTACAGGGTGAAGGAGATGGGACCCTGGGCTTTTGTGTCTTCATATATAAAAATTGTTAATAATGACTTCTAGGACTTGCCCTGCCCCCACAGGGAGTTCCATATACATTATAAATAGAACTATGAATTCACTTTCCTGTTACAATTCACTATACACATGGGTGAGTGTACACATAATGTGCATGCATAGTTATATATGCATGCTCTCACACACATCTTCAGTGAGAGACAGGAGCAAATTGTTCTGTGTCCTAGGCATATGTCAGTGCTTCTGGGATCGGACGTTAATTTTCTCAGCCACCTTGTCAAGCCATAGGCAAATGGATATGGCGTCTTCAGTTGGCCATGGCCTACGTGAAGGGAGACCCCAAGGCCTCCCCCCTCAGTGGTGCCAGGTGCTCTGAGGCTCTTAAGTTTTCAGGGCCACCCTCGGCACCTACCTTTCACACTCAGCCAGATGTCTACAGCCCTCACCCCCACGAGGTTCTCGGCCCGGCAGAAGTAGAAGCCCTCATCCAGGTCCTGGGAGCAGTTGTAGATGGTGAGGGACGAGCCCTGGCCATGCTGGGTAATGTGATAGTGATCGCTGGGCTGGATGGCTCCCTCGGGCTGTGTGAGGTTCCTCAGCCACTGGATCTTGGCAGATGGGTTGGCGCCTGTCACTTGGCAGGTGAGCGTCACGTTGCCCCCCATGAAGCAAGTTTTCATAGGCTGAGAAACAAGTGAGGGGCTCGCTGGGGGTGGGAAGAGGGTAAACAGAGGCAAATGTTTCAGGAGATTCAAGCCATGGCCTATCTTACCCACCAAAACAACCAATGCTCCTAATCCCCACATCTTGCCTGGTCCTCTGGATAAAGCCTGCCTCCTATTGGGTACTTACTGTGTACAAGGAGCCCAACTCAGTCTCAAAAGAGTCTCAAGATTATTCCCATTTTGTAGAGAAGGAAAGTAAGGCACAAAAAAAGCCAAGCGACATCTAATAGTTTAACAGTGGAAGGCAACCTTGGCGGGTGGGAGCCAGGGGGTACCACAACGTCACACCATGCAACAGAGCTCAAGTGAAAGATTTGGGGATGTGTGGGGGGAGAAGCAGAGGCGGCCTCTGGGTGAGAGCAGAAGAGGGGCAAGAAGGGCTTGCCTTATTTTGTTTGTTTGTTTTGGTTTTTTTTGAGACAGGGTTTCCCAGTAGCTATGGAGCCTGTTGTGAAGCTCACTCTGTAGATCAGGTTGTCCTCGAACTCAGAGATCCTTTTGCGCTGGGATTAAAGGCGTGCACCACTACCGCCTGAGTGCTAACACAGCCTGCCCAGTCACACAAGTTAAATGAGAGGACACAGGGTGACCTGCTGTCCCACTTTTCCTAGGACTCGGAAGACTGCTGGGTTGTGAGGTTTTCCAGGCAACATCAAATCAGCTCTGGTGAACCCAAAAAGGCGGATGACCAGGGACCCCGAGACCCAAGCTCTATGACAGAGCTAAAAGTCAGGGCGCTAACAGAGCTGGCTCCTTTTGGATGCTCCAGGGAGCCCAACCTTCTTCCACTGCAGGTGGTTCTGTGAGGTTTTGTTTTTTGAAACAGGGTTCATGTAGCTCAGGGTGTTCCTTGAAACTTGCTATGTAACTGAGGCTGGCTTTGAACGCCTACTCCTTGCCTTTACCCTCCCCTTAGTATAAGGATTATAAGCATGTTACCACACCCAGATTCCCTCTTCTGTTTGGAGTGTGAATTTTTATTTTTAATTATGTGTATGTGGTATGTGCGTGGTTGGGGCGCAGGGGGGGGGTAGTGGAGGATATGTGCTTATATATGGGTGCTATCAAAGGCCAGAGGCATCAGATTCCTCTGGAATTTTAAGTCACCTGACAAATGGGCTGGGATCTGGAACCTTACAAAGGGTTTGGGTCCTCTATGAGCAGAAAGCACTCTTAACCACTGAGCCATCTTTCTTTCTCTCCCTCCCTCCCTCTTTTCCTCCCTCCTTCCCTCCCTCCCTTCCTTTTTTGGTTTGTTTTGTTTGAGACAGGGTCTCACTATGTAGCCCCTGGCTAGCCTGGAATTTACTATGTAGAACAGGCTGGCCTGGAACTCGTATATCTACTTGCCTCAGCCTCCCAAGTGGTTGGCTTTAAAGGCATATGCTACCATGTCCCGCTCAGGAGGCAGAGGCAGGTGGATCTCTGAGTTCAAGGCCAGCCTGGTCTACAGAGCAGTTCCAGGACAGCCAGAGCTACACAGAGAAACCCTGCCTCAAAAAAACAAAGAGTTTATCTGAGAGGATGCAATGGACTAGGAAAGGGGGAAAGATTACAAAAGATTGGGGCGCATGGAGATCACCAGTGAAACGGATGTGGGGGCTTTCACCTGATGGGTGGGCAAGGGTGGTCCTTCACCTCAAGTATAAACTACCTTCTTCAACAAATGGACCTGCAGCAGACAATGGCGGCTCTTGTCTGTGGTCCCACTGTTTTGGAGGTTGAGGCTGGGAGGCACTTGAGCCCAGGAACTCAGAACCAACCTGATAATATTAGCAAGCCCCTCTTTTTTGGGGGGAAAGGAAGTGCAGCGGGTGCTGGGCACAGAATCCATGGCCTCACTCAGGCTAAGCAAGGGCTGTTCTACCCTTAGCCTTAGTTTCCTTTAAAGCTCTCAAGAGACAGGGTTTGGGGCTGGGACAGGGGTGGGGGTGTCAGTGGAAAGACCTCTGTGTGGGAGAGCTGGGGTTTCATCTACTGGACAAAACCAAAAGAGAACAGGGAGCCTGATGATTCTCCCTACTCCCCTTGAGCATGGGCTTCAGGAATGTTGCTAAGAGACAGAATGTTCCAGAAGATAGACCAAGTAACTCCAAAGGCTAGGTCCTACGAAGAAAGGGTCACTCCTGCCCGGCTTAGCCCCTCTTCTATCACTGGCTCTCTCAGCAAAGTGGGTGGTGGACACTGAGACACATGCTGGAGCCCCACAGAGGGGTGGACACTGAGACACATGCTGGAGCCCCACAGAGGGGGGTGGACACACTCAGACACATGCTGAAGCCCCACAGAGAGGGGTGGACACTCAGACACATGCTGGAGCCCCACAGAGGGGGGTGGACACTCAGACACATGCTGGAGCCCCACAGAGGGGGGTGGACACACTCAGACACATGCTGAAGCCCCACAGAGAGGGGTGGACACTCAGACACATGCTGGAGCCCCACAGAGGGGGTGGACACTCAGACACATGCTGGAGCCCCACAGAGGGGTGGACACTCAGACACATGCTGGAGCCCCACAGAGGGGTGGACACTCAGACACATGCTGGAGCCCCACAGAGGGGTGGACACTGAGACACATGCTAGAGCCCCACAGAGGGGTGGACACACTGAGACACATGCTGGAGCCCCACAGAGGGGGGTGGACACTCAGACACATGCTGGAGCCCCACAGAGGGGGGTGGACACACTCAGACACATGCTGGAGCCCCACAGAGGGGGGTGGACACTCAGACACATGCTGGAGCCCCACAGAGGGGGGGTGGATACACTCAGACACATGCTGGAGCCCCACAGAGAGGGGTGGACACTCAGACACATGCTGAAGCCCCACAGAGCGGGGTGGTCCCATGTGGGGAGGAGACAGCTCGCCCTGTATGCGAAATTGGCTCCTGTGGAGTGTATCTTCTCATCCATTTAGCACCCTGACTTCTGAGTCTTCTGGCTGAGACCCCGCCCCAGCACATTCTTGAGAAGAAAACTGCACCCTACCAGACTTCCTCAGCCAACAAATGGTATTGTCTAAGCCGAGTATGGGGGCCAGGAGCCTCGGTTACATAATAAAGAAGATAAACAGAGGCACCCCATCCATCCTGTGCACTGTGCCGTACCAAGAGAATAGAAAGGAGGGCACAAGAACAGTTTCAGTGAGGAAGAACCTAAGCCAGGCATCGTTAAACTCCAATGGGAACAGCCACGAGGCACAAGGAGAGGTGGGGGAGGGGTCTGGGCACTCCAACACTGAGCCTCTCACAGGACTTCCATCAAAGGACTCTTTGAGAAGAAAGGCAGGCAGGTGAACCCCAACCCCGGGACAAAGCGAGCCAGACTCACAGATCTGTACCACACAGCTGGCTTCCGACGCTGGTCCCACTATGTGGCTCCCAACGCATTTGAACTTCTTGCCCTCAGACAGCTGGGATGGGCTCAGTGTCTGCAGCTTTGAATCTCCCACGACCACCCCTCCCGGTTCTTCTGTCCACAGGAAGGTCGGATCAGGGTAGCCCCCATCCCAATTACAGGTGAGTTCCAGGGTAGCCGATTCTGAAGACACCTCCACTGAGCACTGAGGAGCTGACGGAGGGGGCCCTGCAAAAGAGCAGAGGAGGAGCGTGCTTCATCTCAGACAGAGTCAGATGGCAAGGCAGCGGGTGCAGGTGGTGTGTGTGTGTGTGTGCAAGAACACCAACGGAGGGGGCCCTGCAAAAGAGCAGAGAAGCAGAGAAACATGCTTCATCTCATATGGCAGGGCAGTGGGTGCGTGTGTGTATGTGTGCGCGTGTGTTACAGAACCAGGGTCTCAGAGAGCCATCAAAGCCAGCACCTTCTGGGCTGAAGGGTGTAGCTCAAATAGTACAATGCATAGCACACTACGGTTCGATCCTCAACACAAAACAGTCATGGTGGTATTCATCTGTAATACTAACACTTGGGAGACACACACAGGTATACGTGCAAGCAAAACACCAAGAAAAAATTAAAAACAAACAAAAATTTTGGATTTTTTAACTTCATTTTATGTGCATTAATGTTTTGCTATGAGTTTTGGGTTCCCTGGAACTGGAGTTACAGACAGTTGTGAGCTGCCATGTGGTATGCTGGGAACTGAACCTGGGTCCTCTGGAAGAGCAGGCAGTGCTCCTAACTGCTGAGCCATCTCTGCAGCCCAGAACTTTGGATCTTCTATGAGTGGGTGGAAATAGAGCACCCACCTATAGGAAAAATTACTGGGAACAAACACAGCGATGCTCAGAGCAACCGTACCTGTGTGAAGCCGTGTTGTAAGCACACACATATAAAGATTTACATTACTTATGTATGTCAGTGTGCTCCTCAGAAATCCTCCTGCCTCCTCTGCCTTCCTCACGTGTCAGGTGCCAGGTTTGTTACATCTGATGCTGGCACCCAAACTCTGACCCTCATGATGAGGGAGCAAGCATGCTTGATCACCAAGCCATCGTCACTGCAGCCTGAAAGACACAGTTTCTACATTACTAATAACCACTCGTGAGAAAGCACACAGCCAGTGGGGTGTAGCGAGATACACTTTGGATTCTTGCTGTTGGTAACAAGAGTGGGCTGGGACACCCACAGGGTTTACAGAAAGATGGATGGACAGATGGGACACATGATAAGTAAGTTGTGGTATTTTCATACATTGGATCATGATTCAACCATGAAAAGTGAGTTCAAGACCAGCTTGGCCTATGAGCAAGAATGAAGCATGGATGCTGCATGATGTAGTGTAGATGAACACGTTACACGAAGGGACAGAAACCAGACAAAAGGCTACGCTGTGAAAACCTACTCATAAAAATATAGGGCTGGAGACAATGCCTTGGTGTTTATGAGCACTGGCTTCTCTGGAGGATCTAGGTTCAATTCCCAGCACCCACATACATAGCAGCTCACAACTGTCCGTAACTCCAGTTCCAACACCCTCATGTAGACATACATACACAGACAAACAAAACACCAATGCACATAAAAAAAATAAATTAAAAAAAAATATTCAGAATTTGAACTGGCAAGAGACTCAATGACTAGCCTGCCATGCCTGACACTCAGAATCAGATCTCTGGAACCCATGTGGTGGAAGGAAAGAAAATGTCTCCTGCAGGTTATTCTCTAACCCTGACATGTGTGTGGTAGCATGTGCACACACATAAACACATATTAACGAATAATGAGCCAGTCCTGGTAGTGCAAACACTTGATCCTAGCATTCAACAGCAGAAACAAGTGGATCTCTGTGAACTCAAGACCAGCCTGGTCTGTCTAGCAAGTTCCAGGCCAACTAGGGCTAAATAGAGAGACTCTGTCTTAAAAGGAAAAAAAAAGTAAATAAATAAATACACTGTTTAAAAATTCCAAACACCTGTATTAAGGTGGGAGCCAAAGATTAATTTGTTCAATCCTATTGTTTGGGAATTAACTAGGACCAAAGGCATCTGAGATAAAGATGAAGGGAACAACAATCACATGGCTGGAGAGATGACTCAGTAATTAAGAGCATTGCCTGCTCTTGAAGAGGACCAGAGTTCGATTCCTAGTGTCCACATGGCAGTTTACAACTGTCTGTAACTCCTATTTCAGGGGATCTAGCGCCCTCTTCTGGCCTTCCTGGACACCAGACAGGCACACAGTGCAAATACAAAAATGCAGGCAAGCTAAAAAGAAGAGAACAGTCAGTAGATGGAAGGGCTGGTGAGATGGCCCAGTAGTGAAGGTGCTTGTGGCTAAGCCTGAGGAAGTGATTTGATCCCTGCAATCCAAGTGGGTACCAGAAGGGTACATGATGTAGGAGGTCCTTCTGTATATGTGTCGCTTTTATTGGTTAATGAATAAAGAAGCGGCTTTGGCCTGTGTGATAGGGCAGAGTTCATCTAGGTGGGAAAACTAAACTGAATGCTGGGAGAAAGACGATGGAGTCAGTGAGACGCCATGGAGCCACTGGAGGAGACAGACACATGTGCCCCAGAACTTTACTGGTAAACCATGAGCTTCTGGTAAAATAAAAACAGCTAGCTAGCAATATGCTTAATTGATTGGGCAAGCAGTGTTTTAATTAATACAGTTTTGTGTAATTATTTCAGGTCTGAGCAGCCAGGAACAAACGAGAAGCCTCTTTCTACAGGAGCAGAATCTTCCAAGTCGTCCTTGGACTTCCACATGGCATGCATGTGCCATCACAGATGCACACACGTGTGAAAAATAGATAAACCCAGGGATCAGGGTTTTCAGAACTGAGTAGAGGAGGAACAGCTGCCGGATGAGGTTCAGGCCTCCTAGGGACGAGACCTTACTGAGAGAGGTTTAGAGTCATTGTGGGTGTGCCCTCAAAGGGGAGTGTGGAACTCTAGCCACCTCTTTCTTCCACCAAGCTGTGAAGTGAATGAGTCCCTTTGCAATGTGCTTCCTTCATGACATGCCATGTGTGGCCAAACAGTCACAGGCTGGAACCCCTTACATCTGTGAGGCAAAAGAAACCTTTTTTCTTTATAAGCTTATTGTGTCGGGCCATTTATGATAGTACCGAAAAGCTGACTAGCACAGAACCCGCTAAAGGTGATAAATGCACAGCACACTCAAGCCAATGAGTTGTGCCCTTTTGTGTGATGAATGCACGTGTGTGTATGCACATGTGTGCGTGTACATGTGTACAGGGGCATGTGAAGACCAGAGGTCAACCTTAGATGTTGTTCCTTACATAACCACCTTAATTTTTGAGGCAGGGTCTTTCTCTGGCCTGGAACTTGCCCAGCAGGCTAGGCTGGCTGTCTAGTGGGCTCCAGTGGTCCTCAATCTTTGCCTCCTCGGCACTGGGATTGCAGGTACAGGCTGCCATGTCCTGCTTTTTTTATGTGGGTGCTGGGGATTCAATTCCATTTTCATGCTCATGTGGCAGACGCTTCACCAACAGTTGTATCCCCAGCACAATTTTTTTTCTGAGACAGTCACTTTGTTGCAGAGACTCATGATAGTCCTCCTGCCTCAGCTTTTCGAGTGCTAGGACGGCGGGCATGAGCCACCATGACCAGCCTTCATGTATTTTGAAACATTAAGTACTTTTCCCACTATTTAAAAATGCTCTATATTAGTGTCCTTCTGTGACTTAGAGGACTCTGCTACATCCCAGACAAGAAGAAGCTCCTAGGAGCTGCAGAGATGGCTCAGAGATTAAGATAACTGGCTGCTCTTCCAAAGGTCCTGAGTTCAATTCCCAGCAACCACATGGTGGCTCACAACCATCTGTAATGAGATCTGGTGCCTTCTTCTGACCTGCAGCATACATGCAGGCAGAATACTGTATACAGCCGGGCGGTGGTGGCGCACGCCTTTAATCCCAGCACTTGGGAGGCAGAGGCAGGCGGATCTCTGTGAGTTCGAGTCCAGCCTGGTCTACAGAGCTAGTTCCAGGACAGGCTCCAAAGCCACAGAGAAACCCTGTCTCAAAAAACAAAACAAAACAAAAAACAACAACAACAACAAAAGAATACTGTATACACAATAACAAATAAAATTTAAAACAAAAACAAGCTCCCAGAAGCAATGGGCCTCACCTGACAGTCCAGGTATATGCATGCATGTTGAAACATGCAATGAAGCATGCTAGGATCTGAGCATGGACATGCACGAGAGCGTTATACAGCCCCCAAAAGAAATGAGACTCTAAAATGCACCACAAGCCATAGTGTGGAGGAAACTGCAAGGCAGGAAGGAACGGTATGAAAGCTCAGAGAAGATACAGACAGGGTTACAGAGGGGCGTGCCGCTTACGCACAGTAGACCAGGAGCTCGGTGGTCACCTTTCGCTGTCTGCCGCTGAGCGCGTTGGTGGCCGAGCAGGTGTAGTTGCCTTGGAGGTTCTGGGACATCTGCAGCAGCGTGAAGCTGTTGGCCGTCAGGTTCCTTCCGAAGACCTCCGAGATGCGGGCCTGGAAGCACCACTCCACCTCGGGCGGAGGCCGGGAGGCGCTGTGGCAGCTGAAGTCCACCTGGGAGCCCTTGGCTGCATACAAGGTGCCATTGGGGAGGGCACCCGTGGCTGAGATGTTCACCACAATCTGATCGGGGCCGCCTGGGAATGATGGGGAGAACTGGTATAAATCAACACTGTGGGGTTTGAAATCAACACCTCTAAAGGAACCGGACAGCACGGACAGTCTGCTAAGTGTCCTCAGACCCCCTCACTTGTTTGATCTTGGACAGCTGTATGACGTTGACTGTGGATCGGGAAGAATTTCCTTAAAGGACCTGCCATTTGTTTTGGGGTTTTTGTGTTTGCTTTTACGACATGTAGCCCAGGCTGGCCTCAAATTATGTAGCTGGGGATGACCCTGAGCCTGGTTTATGTGGTGCTGGGCATCAAACCCAGGTTTCATGATGCTACGCGAACTCTAGCAACTGAGCAACACTGCAGCCCTACCTCGAAGAACTTCCAATCCTCCCGCTTCCACTTCCCAACTGTTGGTGTAGAAACACTGCAAGTGGCTGGGACGTCCCAGAGGGTAAGTGCTTGCCGCTCTTACAGAGGAACCAAGTTATAGTCCCAGGACCTGTGCCCAGCGGCTCACAATTTTCCCCATCGCCAGGTCCGGAGGATTCAGTCTCCTCTGAGCCCCTGTGCGTGCGCATGCGCGCACACATGCGCACGAAATAAATCTTGTCAGACCTAGCACTGAAGACCTTTAAATCCCCCAATCAGGAGGCAGATACAACCTGTGAGTTCCAGGCCAGCCAAGTCTACACAGAGAATTCCAAGACAGCCAGTGCTACATAATGAGGCCCTGTCTCCAGAAAACAAAAATAAAAAAGAGGGACTACAGACAAAGCTCAGTTCAACAGTGACGCCTACAAACTTCTCTTCCGGAGCACCTGAGCTGGATACCCAGACCCACATGGTCGCTCATTAACTGTCTTTAACACAAGTTCCAGGAGATCTGATGCCCTCTTCTGACCTCCACAGGCAAAACACCCATATGCATAAAATAAATTAAAAATAAATTTATAACACTGAATTTCAAAAAACAACAAAAAACCTTCCTGCCAAGGGACTAGCGGTTATGAGCACTTGCAGCAAACATCAACAAAATCCACATCAGGCCCACAGCTGCTCAACTGCTTCCCTACTGAGGGTCCCGACCCGAAACGACCTAAACCCAGCCGTCAGAGCGGTTTCCACCATTCCCCAAACCTGTCACCACGGCTCGCCAGGTCTCAGCCTAGCACAGTGAGTGGTTTAGGGGACACTGGCTCTCCTCAGGGAAGCTGGAATTCTACTGTGTGTGGGTAGACCAGAGCCCACAGAAAGCTCTGGGTCTTTCTCCTCAATCGCGCTGGCTCTGGAGAGCGGCTGCTTTCTCTCTAACCACTGGACCTGCCGAGCTCCTGGGAGTTGCCCTAGAGTATCCGCGAACCTGAGGCTGGTCTTGTCAACACCCCAATCGTCCAGGTCCCCCTGCCCCAACACACATACACACCAGGCTGCTTCGGGCCTGACTGAACTCCAACTGTGTAGTTTCAGGCAACTTACTCATTCTTGTTTAGCCTCAGTTTCCCCCTCTGTGAAATGGGGGTGATGACAGTATCCCCACTGCAGGGGCAGAGTTTATAAAACGGAACACCCAGCACGGTTTGTAGTGTGGACCCCATCTTAGTTCACTTTAATTTCTGAACTTCTCATTCTCTTTAAGACTGGGTATCAAACTCAGGGCTTTGCACCCCACCCAGACTTGAACTGTCTTGACCCCCAAAATGCCCTGCAAGGTGGTACCCAGTGCATCCAAGATGCCAAGCTCCCCTTGGTAAAAAAAGAGCACAGCTCCCTGCTGGGGAAGCAGCGCAGAGGTGCACTGTGTGCTTAGTGGGTACAAGGTTCTGGGTTCAATGGCTGAGCACCATCAATGTGATGGCGTGGGAAGGAGGAGAGGGGAGGAAGGGGGGACAGGAAGGAGGAGGGAGAAGACGAGCATAGAGGGAGGGAAACCTTTCATCCCAGTCCTCAGGAGGCAGAAGTAGGTGGATCTCTGTCAATTCAGGGTCAGCCTAGTCTACACAGAGTTGTAGGCCAGGCAGGGCTACATAAGGAGACCCTGCTCAAAAACAAACAAAAATCATTAAAAAGAAAGGGGAAGAAAAGAAACATAAATTAGTTTGCCAATTGAAAGACATTAGTGGGCACAGCTAGTGGCTGCCCTCGGGCCTCTCCTCAGAGAGCTCTCTCTTAGGAAACAGCCCAGGCAGGCTGGAACTTCAGCAAAGGAATTCATTCATCTCCGGCTGTGGAGTTTAGTTCAGAAATAGGTCAGTGGGGAACAGAAAATCATCTGTGGGATGCAAAGATTTTCCTATGCAGCCCTCCAGTGGAAAGTACTCCTCAGGACCTCACTAAGTAGCCCAGGCTAGCCTCGATCTTGAGTTCCTCCTGCCTCAGCCTCCCGATGCTGGGATTACAAATGTGCTTTCTTCTACACCTGGACCAGGACAACATCCTGTCAGGTGGCTCCTTGGGAACCATACTGCCCACCCCTCAAGGATCTGGGGAGACTTGGTGGCCTGGGGGGTGCCTGAATGGTCCATTCACCAATGCTGGCTAGTCCGTCAGGTATGTGGCCCAACAGGTCCTAGGGCATGTCTTCCCCGGCAGCCTTCCAACTAAACAGGGTTCAGCTGGAGTACTGAGGTACTGGTGACCAACACCAGGGACTGGCAATCTCACACCCCTGGTCTCCCAAGTCCTGGTGGCCTGGCCTGGACAGAGTGCATCCCAAGAAAGTAGCTGGGAAGGGCTTTTGAACAGGATAATGAACAAGACGTAGAATTTGCTGCCGAGAATCACTGAACAGGAGTCAGGCGGGAGGATCATACAGGGTGGGAGATGGCTCAGCACACAAAGGCACTAGCCGTGCAGACCTGAATTCTGGAGTCCGATTCCCAGAATCCCTGTACAAGGTGGATGTGGTGGTGTGAGCCTCCCACTGTTCCTGTGCAGAGATGGAAGGCAGAAGCCAGAGAAACTCTGGGAAGCGAGTCGTACAGTGCAGCTGGACACCTCAAAGTGACCCTGACCAACACAGGGAAGTGGAGAACAGAATCCCAAGCTGTCTTCTAGCCCCTGACAGGTATAGACCCACACTGCCATGCACAAATAAATAAATCAACCTTTAAAAAGTGCAAGCAAGAAAAGATGCTTGCCGTCGAGCCTTCCAACCTGAGTGTGACATCCAGACCCACAGAGTGGGAGGAGGGAGCAGGCCCCAAGGTGTCCTCTGACCTCCACACAAACACCCTGGCACATGAGAGCACTCTCGCACTCATTCTCTCTCTCTCTCTCTCTCTCTCTCTCTCTCTCTCACACACACACACACACACACACATTAAATTTTTTTTTTTTTTGGATTTTTCGAGACAGGGTTTCTCCGTAGCTTTTGGTTCCTGTCCTGGAACTAGCTCTTGTAGACCAGGCTGGCCTCGAACTCACAGAGATCCGCCTGTCTCTGCCTCCCGAGTGCTGGGATTAAAGGCGTGCGCCACCACCGCCCGGCTCCACACACACATTAAATTAAAAATGTAAAAAGCAGAGCCAGGCAGTGGTGGTACACATCTTTACTCCCAGCACTCTGGACGCAGAGGGAGGTTGATCTCTTTGAGTTGAGGCCAGCCTGGTCTACGGTGAGTTCCAGGACAGCAAGAGCTACAGAGAAACCATGTCTTGAAACCTGCCCCCCAAAAAAGAAGTAAAAAAATAAGATATAGTTTAAAAATATTAAAGGAAAAACCAGCCCTGGAGAGACAGCTCAAGGGTTAGAGGCAGCAGCTGCCTTTGCAGAGGACCTGAGTATTGTCCTCAGCACCGAAGCCAGATGCTCACAGCTGCCTGAAAGGACCAGCTCCCTGGCTCTGAAGCCTTCTTCTGCTCTCCACAGACACCCTTTTTTTTTTTCTTTATGGCATACACATATACATAATCTTTTGTTTTTTGATGCAGGGTCTCACCGGGTAAGGATAGGCAAGCAGTTCACCACTGAGCCACACCCCAACCCTTACACCATGCTTTTGTTGTTGCTTGTATTGGTTTTCTCAGGTAGCCCAGGCAGGCTGGCCCCAAACTAGCATCCTAGCCAAGGATGACCTTGAACTTTTGATCCCCCCCCCCCCGCTAAAATTATGGACCTGTGACACCACACCCAAGTTCCTTAAATACTACGTTCACTGATGTGGCAGCCAGCCAGCTTTCAGCCCAGACCCCAGGGAATGAATCCTAAGTCCAAAGCCCAATCTCTCCCTACGGCTTCTTCTAAGCACCCGTGTGCACTTCAAACCCAAGTGTGGTAGTAGTCTGAATGTAAATGGCCCCCATAAAATATTGGGAATGGCACTATTAGGAGATGTGGCCTTGTTGGAGTAGTGTGGACTTGTTGGGGAAGTGTCACTGTGGGAGCCAGCTTTGAGGTCTCCCATGCTCAAGATACAGCCAATGTCTCCGTTCACTTCCTGTTGCCTGTGGCTCCAGAGGCAGAACTCTCAGCATCTCCAGCACTATGCCAGCCTGCACACTGCCCTGTCCCATTGTGATGACAATGGACTAAACCTTTGAACTGTAAGACACCCAATGAAATGGTGACTTCTAAGAGTTGTCATGGGGTCTCTTCACAGCAGTAGAAACCCCAAGACACCCAAGTTAATCAAACCTTGAGCATGAGGGGACCACTACTTCCTCTCGGCACTCGTCAACGAGCAGGACTGTATTAACAGAAGCTCAGTTCAGGGAGCATGGACTGTCCCTGAGGCATCCTCTGAGGGAAGTTCACTGAGACTGCAAGATATACAGGATGCTAGGACCATGACCTAGCCCCCAGCCCCAGCCGACTGCCAAGGGGGATTGGCAGTTGATACAAGCCTGTTTCCTCATTGTCCTCCTGCCAATCAGTTCCAATGACCCATTGCAACTGCTCGCTCAGCTTGAGAAAACTAGACCCAGGGTGAGCCTTGCCCAGTGTACCCTGAACTGACTTGGGTTTTTCATGGGCTGCTCTTCGGCCTCCTCACTCGGCTGCAGGACTCAGCTTCCCAAATGCTGGTACTGAGAAAACCCTGTGCAAGAAGCACCAAGGCTGCAGGACTAGTTGAGATCTGAGCCACCTTCACCACCCCTCCAGCCTTACAGAGAGCAAGCACTCAGCTGGCCCACCCCGTCCCGCGTCCATGTGGAGCCAGGAGCGAATGGGGACATTAAGTTAACGGCTTCAACAGTCCTGGAATATTGCTAGAGGACTTCTGGACCCTTCGGATCAGAGTAACAGAGTCCTAAGACGACTATGGCTCCACTCTTCATCTGACCTTATTTACTTCACTATTTGTTTGCTTTTACTTTACGTGTATGGTGGTTTTTCTGCATGTGTGTAGGTGTGCCTCGTGCATGCCTAATTCAGTTATCAGGTCACCTGGAACTGGAGTTACAAACGGTTCTTAGCCACCATGCAGGTGCTGGGAGCCAAACCCGAGTCTCCTCCAAGAGCAACCAGTGCTCTTAGTGGCTGATTTATGTCTCCAGGCCCATTCATTTTTATTTTTCAAAGGCAGGGCTAGCTATGAACTCCCTAGCCAAGGAAACCCTTGAATGTCTAATCTGACCTTCTCCCTCCTGAGTGCAGCGATCACCACACCTAGTTTTTCTGTGCTTTTGGGGAGAACCCAGGGTTAAGAACTCCACACACTGAACCACGTGCTCAGTCTTAGCCTCACCCTCAGCAGAACATAACACTACATACTCTTCGGGTGGGAGTGATGGGTGACAGCCTCCTGTGGTGCCCACACCAGGTGGGCTAAATCCCTCCCACCATAGCCTACGGAAAACTGACTCCCACTGGGGAACAGGGGACACTGGTGACAGAAACCTCCCAACCTAGACACAGCTGGACAGAGGCACGTGTGCCCCTGTGGCAGGCGTCCTGGATAACCAAGGTCACCTACAGATAAGAACCTGTTCAGCCAGGAACAGCTTGGGATTTTTCCTCCCTGGTCCCCAAGGCCATGTTAGAATATTTGCAAATGTTTCTCCTTAAGATGGCGTACACACACAAACACACAAACATGACCAAGTTACCAAAGTGAAATGATAAAGAAAACCCAGGGCCTGACTCTCGCCGAGTCCCATTCAAACACCCAGACAGAAATTGTGACCCAAGCGCTGGGAAGACAGGCAGGAGGATTGCTACAAGGGATTTTATTGTTGCTGTTGTGTTTTGTGGGGTTTTTGTTTTTGTTGTTGTTGTTTTGTTGTTTTCCAAGACTGGAGTCTCAAGTAGCACAGGCTGGCCCTCACTTCGCTATGTAGCCAAGGATAACCTAGAATTCACGATAGTCCCACCTCTCCCTCCAGAGTGCTAGGATCACCCATAAGTAAATTCATTTCTCTATCCCTCTCTCCCACTTCTCCTTCCTTCCCCTTTTTTGGATAAAAGATCAAAACCCATGTTCTTACTCTTGCTAAGTAAGCATTCTACTCCTAAGCCAGCTGGGGCTACTTAACAAGACTCTCATAAAGGAAAGAGGCAGGCAGATCTCTGTGAATACAAGGTCAGCCTAATCTTCACAGTGAGAACCTGTCTATCTCCACAACCCTCCGCCTCCAAAAAGAAATATGGGGAGGGAGGATGCAAGATCAGAGGGAGGCAGGAAGAAAAGGCCTGGATGCGCCGATTGCTAGGACCTTGGGATGCATTTTCTTCCCACGGGAAACCGGTCACCTTTGTAAGCAGCAGACCCCAGGCGCATGGCCAAGGTCGAGTCAACTGCAGCCAGTTTACCTTATCAGTGCATCGGGTGCAGCAGAAATCCACCTTGGCCCTGAACTATGAGGGGCCAGGAGCCAGCAGGGCCTAGATCTCAGCTCAGGCGTGTGGACTGCCGAGGACAGGCGGCACCAGGCCCTTCCAGGGATGCAGAACGGGACACACTCAACACCCCCAAACGCCCTGGGCAAAAGGAAGCCAAGTCCCCTTCAATGCCAGGGTCTTCCTCAGTGGCCAATGAGGAGCAAGCAAGGAGGGTCTGGAAGGGTCTATGGTTCAGGACTCTTTCCCAGAAGGCTCTGCTGTAGATGAGTCTCAGGGCATCGCCCCCACTTCTTGTGGACAACTGTGTTACCCACGGGCCTACATTTCCCAGCGAAGGACTTCTCACAGTCCAAGCTGCATCAGATGTGTTCAGGGAGTACAAAGTCTCACTTGATTTCAGGGACGTTTGTGCATTTGTTTGCAGGTGTGTGCGCATGCGTGTGATGGACAGAGGACAACCCTGGCTGCAGTTCCTCCTTTTGTTTTATTCTGAGACAGGGTTTCTCTATGGAGTTCAGGCTGGCCTCCAATTTACCCAGATTAAAATCATCTATCACTCAAGCCCACGCTGACGGTGACCTCTTCCCCAGGCTCTCACTGTTCCCCAAGCCCGTCCCTTCCAGTCCCACTTACTGGCCACCCGCAGCCACACAGGGAACCAGCGGGTCTCATTCAGAAACTCCTGGCAGGTGTAGTTGCCGTCATCCTCCAGGCTCAGTGCCTCCACGTGCAGGGCACCTGCATCCTCTAGAGAGAAGCGCAGCGAGGCTGGAGGGAGGCTAGAATTGGAGGACAGCAGGAAAATGGGCTCTGAGTCGTTCCGGTACCAGGTCACGGGGCCCCTGGGTCCTGTCACATTGCCACAGTGTAGAGTGACGTTCTCATGAACCTCGACGATGGCCACAGCACCTAGGTCTGTAAGGGAAGGTTAAGTGTTAACACCTTTTCTGGCTGATGGGCAACAACCCTTTGAAAACAGTAGGATTTTCTTCTTTAATAGCATGTGGCGATCAGACTGGCCTTTGCTCACACACGTGTGAGGTGGGGTCTCACGCAGCCCAGACTGGCCTTTGCTCACACGTGTGTGATGTGGGGTCTCACGCAGCCCAGACTGGCCTTTGCTCACACGTGTGTGATGTGGGGTCTCACGCAGCCCAGACTGGCCTTGAGCTCACACGCGTGAGCGCGTGTGTGAGGTGGGGTCTCACGCAGCCCAGACTGGCCCTGAGCTCTGCAGAACACTACTCAAGCACAGACCCTGAACTTCTGTCCACACCTCCCAAATGCTGGGATTACACGCTGTCCCACATGTCATACAGTGCTGCGGGGGGGGGGGGGGGGGGCAGTACACAGATCTCAGCTCCAGAACTATGCAGCAGTAGCAGAAATCTGAAAAGACACCTTTAAAAATAGCCAATTAAGGAGCTAAGGAGCAGGGCCATAAAATGTAAGGAGGTTCAGATGCTCCCAAGAGGCATCCTGTCCTTAAAGATACCTTGTCGGTAATGTATGGCACTTTGTTAGGTTTTCACGTCCAAAAACTGACCAATGGTTTCAGAAACTACCTTACCCTATGCCCTCCTTACCCAGTCCCAAGACGACAGGACATGAACCCCCCTGATACATTTCCCCTTTAAAAGTTCTACCCTCCCAGGGCTCCCTGCCACACTTTCTGCACCCACCCCCCCATACTGGGACGCTGGAAAGGTGTTGGTCCAAACCTGAGTTTGAATATTAAAAACCCTCATGTAATTTGTATTGGAAATCCGGCTCCCTAAATTCATCTGGGGACAGAACTTGGGCATAACAAACCCAGAGCCAAATCTGCAGCTATTTTATTAAACGTGTTCAGCAGCGGTGTTGTGGTTTGAATGTAAAATGTCCCCCACAGTCTCATGGCCCCAGCTGGTGGCACTGTTTGCACCCTTCAGGGGATGGAGCTGCGCTGGAGGAATAAGTCCCTGGCGGTGGGCTCTGAGGGTTACTGAGCCTGGCCACATCAAGGTTTCTGTTTTCTCTCTGCTTCTGGATGGAGGCCCCTGAAAGGGGATGGCCTGAAGCTCCTGCTGCCAAGCCTTCTCTGTCATGATGGACTGCATCCCTCGGGAACTGTGAGACAAAACAAACTCTTCCCACCCTTTCAGTTGATTATATCAGGTACTTTACCCAGTAACAGAAATGAAACCCATGGGCGTGGGGGACACCATGACCTCAGAGGGATCCTTTCTCATGCTCTGCTGTCCACGAGGACAGCTGTAGCTCCAGCTGCAATGTGAGCATGACCCCTACATGGGGCAGAGTCGAGGGGCTCAGAGGTTCCAGCTGCAAGTGTCTAGATCAGCCTTTGGGCATACCATCCTCACATGTGAGGACCCAGGCCAGATCAGCAGAACTGCCTATCCAATCACACCAGCGGTACTGAGCAGTAAGCATTGCCCTCTCCACGTGGCCATCTGTTAGTCCTCAATCACACGGCCTCAGGCAGCCATCTTGTTGCCTAGACACCCAGATGGGGTAGGGGTGGGGATGAGACCTGCTGGTCTCCCTCCCCGTGGAGTTAATCACTTCGGGCAGCACCATGCAGGAATGAATGGGCTGGTAGCACATACTGTGCAGGCACTGGGAGGCCAGTCCTGTGCTGGGCTCTGTGGATCTGCCGGTGACAGAGGAGAACCACTCAGTTCATAGGCTAGTGGGAAAACACACACACAACTGGCAAGGCGGGTAGAGGTGAGGGGCAGGGAGACAGGAAGGTCTCCCAAGGCAGCTAGGGATGTGCCAGGTAAGACTTCCTTCAGGAAGCAGAGCGGGACCTGATGGACAAGTAGGCACGGGATGGATGCAGAAGGAGCCAGAGTCCCAGGCAGAGGGAACAGCAAATTCAAATGCCCAGAAAGACCAAAACCAGACGTGACGACAGCCATATGGGGTCTCAACACTCAGAGGCAGAGGTAGGAAGGTCAAACGTTAGGTGTTAGTGCGGGCTACATAGTGAGACCCTGACTCAAGGAAACACGGTGGGGGGGGGGTGAGAAAATGCTTGGACCCTAAGTGACAGCTTTGTCAGAAAGACAAATTGTCAGCACCCCGAAACCATCTCAATCAGAACCAGGAGAGGCCAGCCCTCTGTGGAGGATTCCAACGCATATTCAAGGCTGAAGGGCAAGCGACAGCTGATCAGGGAGTTAAGACAGTGCGGAACAAGGAACAAATGCAGTCCAATTAATTAATTAGTTAATTAATTAATTAATTATGTATTTTTGGTGTTTTTCTCGAGACAGGGTTTCTCTATGTAGCCCTGGCTGTCCTGGAGCTTTCTCTGTAGACCAGGCTGGCCTCGAACTCAGAGATCCACCTGCCTCTGCCTCCCAAATGCTGGGATTGAAGGTGTGTGCCACCACCGTCCAGCAAATGCAGTATATTTTTACTGAGACTATTCCAGCACTTTCCACAATCAATACCCCATTCTAGAGAGGCCACGGGGACAGGAATTTGGGCAGAACCTGCTGGGCTGATTAAAAATGTCCTGGAGGTAACTAATGAGGGGCCGGGGCAGTTGCTGTGCCCCATATCATCCAGTACACGGGGGTAGGGGGGTCAGAGGGCAACTTTCAGGAGTGTGGTCTCTCCTTCTACCACAGCGGGGAGGGTGCCCAGGAGGGAACTTATGTCACCTCCTCAGCAAGCTCTCTGCCCAGTGAGTCACGTCGCTGGCCCAACAGAGTGGTTTTTATTTTGTTCTGTATTATACTTTATTATGACAGGGCCTCAAGCAGTCCAAGCTGCCTTGACCTCCTGCATAGCTTAGGATAACCACAAAATCAGGACCCTCCTACATCCGCTTCCCCAGACACGGGCCGCTACCATGCTGGGTTTCATGGGGAGCTGGGATCCAGGGTTTCTCCCACATCAGACAAGCACTCTACCAACTGAACTAAGTCCCCAGCCCAAGGGTAGATTTTATGGTATTCGATTATATCTCAATAAAACTGTTATTAAAAAAAGAACTGCCACCTCCTTCTTGGCAACCTCGCCATGGGTGTCTGAGCTGCTGTCCCTCCTGGGGTAAGAAAAGGCTCCTTTCAAAAGACTGAAGTTGGACCAGGCCACAAGAAGTCCTGAGAGATGGAGAGATGGCTCAGTGGTTAAGAGCACTGGCTGCTCTCCCAGAGGTTGCCGGTTCAATTCCCAACACCCACATGGCAGTTCACAACTGTCTGTAACTCCGGTTCTAGAGAAATCTGACACCTTCACACCAAATGCACATAAAGTTAAATGAATATTAAAAAAGAAGAAGTCCCCGAGTCTGTCCATCCTGGTTGCAGCACTCCCGAAAGGCTTTCAAACCAGAAAAAGACTGCGGGGGGGGGGGGGGGGGGGGGAATAGGCCAGTGTCTGTGAGGCAGAGAATCAGCTGGTGCTAGACACCCTCAAACAGCAAGAAACACTTGAAAGTGATAATTTACGAAGTCAACACTCTGTTACAGCTGAGCCTGGTGTCACACGCCTACAATCCTACTGAGGTAGGAAGATCAAGTTCAAAGCCAGCCTGAGCTATGAAAAGACCCTGACTTAAAAGGGAGGGTGTGTGTGTGTGAGAGAGAGAGAGACAGAGAGACAGAGAGAGACACACACAGAGAGAAAGCACATCATTTTCAAATGACTAGGCTACCAACCCAGGCTCTCACATGGTGACTTCCATCATGGAAAGATGCACTGTAGAGTTCTATCAGACCAACAGCTGCCCCTTCTCAGTCCTCAGCCAAGGAATAAGGGACTGTTAGCCTGGAACAGCCTTCATGCAATTTTAACCTCGACACCGGAGCTCCTGTCTTCTCCAAGAAAGACGGCAGCCTGGCTGCTTTTCCCCTGGCTCTGCCCACTCCACTGCCTGTAACACCTGAAGCTAAATATGGCCTTAGAAATCATCTAATCAGTGATGCGGCTGCAGAGTCATCGACTGGTGATGTCTGTCACGGACAAGGAGAGGGAGGCCCCTGAAGACACATCAGTTCCACACACGTGCTGGTCACACACATCCTCATTACCCTGTTGACGCTCCGGGCTCCACACGTGTCCAGAGATGCAGGACAGTCACAGCTGGGAGTGCTCCAGGTCAGAAGGATTTACTTGAGTCTCACACTTTGGACAGAGTAAGATGAGGGGACTCAGTGGGTAAAGGTACTCAACATCAAACCTTATTCCAGGAACCCACACACAGTAGAAGGTGAGAACTGCCTCCCAAAGTTGTCCTCTGACCTCCACACATGCCATGGAACACACATACCCCCACACACAGAAAAATAAAATGAAATAAAAAAAACCTAAAAATCAGAGTAATGAATGCTTGCGCTGCTCAGCAACATCCATCGCTGCAGACGCTTTGTTGGCGCGGGGGGGGGGGGGGAAGGGGGGGGGAGGATGACCTTAAATTCACATTATGTAACAAAGAAGGGAGAAAGATAAGCAAGACTCCACTACCAGGCTATTCCTCCAGCCCCATGCTCATCTTGATGCTATCCTCATTTACACAGCCAGAGGCATACCCAAACACTTTTCCCAGGAACCCTCTAGGTGACACTGAAGCACCAATGTCATGTGTAGGGGAGAGTCGGAAGGAAGACACCTGTCCTACCTCTCAACTTGAAAAAGAAACAACTGAAGTAGGCACAACCCCTGGGCGGCCCAGACACACACAGGTAGAGCCAGCCTGAGTGTCTGGGCATAGCAATTATTGAGCAGAAAGTCGGGGGTGGTGGCACATGCCTAGAACCTGGCACTGGGGACTCTGGAGTGAGCGGAAGACAAATCTGAAACCGACCAGAACTATCCAGTGAGACCACTGACTCAAGCACGTTAAGAGGACGTAGCCGCAGAGGGAGGTCTCCAAGTGGGAAGAAGCAACCCGTCACTCTGAAAGCAACTTCATGCCAGTATGAATGAACATTCAGGCTCCTTCCAGCTCCAGGACAGAAGATTGACAGTGACCCCTAATGTCCAGAAAAGCCATCAGGAACTGACTGTAATTGGAGCTGGTGGTGTGGCTACCTAGAACATATGCATCACCCATAGAAAATGACAAAAGAAATAAAGAAAAAGAAAACGAAATCCATGACCATAAGGGGATAACACAGCAAGAGAAAGTGTAACCAATCTGGGGTCGTATGTGCTAAATTTCGCAGAAGATGCCTTACTGCCCAGTCCCAGGTGGGAGAGCCAACCCTGTGCTGTGAAACCTTTTGAGTTTTCCATACATACCAGAAACATAGGTTCCAGACAATGTTGCTGATTTTATATGACAATTAAAAGCAAATGTAAATAAGTAGATAGAAAGGGCATCATAATTAGGAACTTCTGCTGCTTGCTGCTAGGGAGCTCAGGTATAATAGCTTACCTCTTACTACAAGGATAGCAGGAGGATGGGGTGGACCCGGGACATGCACAAAAAAATAGCATTTCCCAAGCATCTTGGGGAATTACTCACCCCTTGGCTTCGTTTGCCTGCCCCCCCATTTCCCGCCAAACATTTCTGCACACAGTTGACACGAATTCGCTGGCGAGCTAAAACTCAAACATCCTTTCCCAACCGTCTACATATTTTACTAAACAATCCTCCCCGCGAGCTTTTTTTTTTTTTTTTTTTTTTGGCAACAGCACGGGGTAAATGAGGTATATTAGGAATTTTTGGTGAAGCCTGAAATGATTTCAAAGAAAAAGCAAAAAGAAAACAGAAAAAAGAGTAGAAGAGGAGAAGAGGACGGCGCGGCTTGGAACGCACGGGTCTACACAGGTAGATTCACTCAATGAGGAGGGTGTGGGGAAACAACTCCACACGTTACAGGTGTAAGCCCAGGTCAACCTGGGAGAGGCGGGGAGCCGGACACCAAAGGAAGCTTACACTGGGGTGCGCCGGCGCCGCGGGCAAAACCAGAACGCAGAGTTAGGAACGAAAGGGAAAGGGAAAAATAAATAAATAAAACCACCACTTTCCCCTCCACGTGCCCCTCGGTGGGCCCTGCCGCACGTGATCGCGGAGCTTTCGAGTCCCCATGCTGGGGGTGGCGGGTCCCTTACCTGCGGAGCCCTGGCGGGCCAGAAGCGCCCCGAGGCACAGCAGGACGCATAGCCCGGCCATCGCGCCAGAGATCTACGGCCCGGGAAGCGCAGGGCTCTGGGTGTGCGGGGCTCTTGGGGCTCCCGGGCCCGCTGCAAGGGGCTCCCCAACTAGGATGCTGCGGCCGAGCCCGGGCGATCGCCTCTGGGGCAGGCGCCCCGCCCCTGCGCCCAGCCCGCCCGGCTGGCGGAAAACAACAGGCGCGGGCCCCCTCCCGCCTCTCCGGCAACTTCCTCCACCTTGGCCGGGAGGAGGGCCTTGTGCGACGATCCCAGTCCCTCGGGGCCTGGAAGGAGGCGGCCCCGAGCTCCGACCCGCCAGTGCGGGACGCGCTCCCGGCCTGTGAACTGCGCGCGGGCTGCGGGGCACCGGGCGCCGTCGCAGCCCTGCAGCTTTATCGCGCTTGTCATCTGGGTTCTCGGGTGCAGGGGCGGACCACAGCGCCGCCATCGCTCAGAGCCCAGGGAAAGACGATCCCTCAACCGTCCGGCCAAAAGCAACCACGAGACTCTGGTTCTCGAATGAACTTGGGTCGCGACCACAAGGGAAGTGAGAGTTTTGTTTTCAGGTGCTCCCACCCACGTTTCTTTTACTTTCCCCACCCTCCCATCCTGGCAGATCCCCGAAGCACATTTCCGGGATCAGCTTTCTGGCGTCCCATTTATGTGATCTGGTGGACACCGCCACTGCTGGGCCCTCGGGAGGATATCTGCCCTTGATACAGTTCTGGGAGAAGAAACTCCGCGTTCAAAACAAGGATGTAGTAGGCGCCGTGGAATCTTCGTTGTGGGCTCCGGGAGGTGGGCGTCCCTCAGCTTCCGCTCTCCCAGCCCTTATAAAAAAAATATTGGGAGGGCTGAGGATGATGCTCAGTCGTATAGCGCCAGCACCTTCCATCCCAGCACCCCAAAACCGAAGTAAAATATGGGGAAAAGCTAAATTTGAAATAAAAAATCGCTGGTTCTGTTCTGAAAGACTCCCCACCCCCACCCCCATGGGGCGTCCTAGAGAGAAATGCCTTGGAATCTGTAAACAGAAGGTGTTTATCCTGTTGACCCCAACTTCCTGTTGTTATCCCCAGGACCACACACCTCGTCCCCACCCCTTATGTATTAAATGGATGTGTATTATTGTTGGGCACACCATGTCACTCAGCCTTCTATTTTGAGGCGATCCTCCTGCCTCAGCTTTCCAAGTGCTGAGATTACAAGGGTCCACCATGCCACTCCGTGCCTGGCTATGTTAATTGGTTTTGATGTTTCTTGGGCTCTACAGGCAAACTTTCTGGCCTGGAGTCAACAAGCTGTCTGTGGGTAGAAGCATTGCCCAGCAATGTTTTGGCTAAGAGTCTGGAATGTTCTGGAACCATGATGGTGCCCAGAAGGGGAATTTCAGAACTTGCTGATTCAACCACAAAGTTCCTACACAACCCTTGGATCTGAAATACCTTGTGGCCCCTTTCTACTGAGGGCAGTCCATTATATTACTCCCTCGCACTGCTCTCCAAGACAAGTTGATTGTTGGTAAAACCAGGGCTAGATTTCACTTATCTGCCTCCAGATCCTGTTCAACCAAGTTCCAATGCTGTCACTTCTTCCATGACACCTAAGGCCATGGGGATAGAGGTCTGGATACTTGGGCATCATGGAGAGGAAACAGCCACCCCTTCAGATTAGGGTCAGGGATAGTGTTGGGAAACACCTTGGCCTGACATGCCCAGCCAAGAAGACTCACTGGACAGCTAAGGTTTCCCATGGGGACTCGGGCAGGACAGAGGCAACAGTAAGAGACCCTCAAGGGGCTATATAAGGACAAAGTGCCTTGACTTACCCCAAAGTAATCAAGCAACATTTTGATAGACAAAATTGAGCATTGTCATAGGAATCTCATCTGAGCCAAGACCCTAAATCTCACAATCAAATATGGACGGTGGGGACCTGGAAAGATGATCCAGCAGCCAAGAGTGCTTACTGCTTTTGCAGAGAACCTGCATTTAGTTTCAGCACCACATTAGGCAGCTCACGACTGCCAGTAACTCCAGCTCTGGGGACTCGGATCCCCTCTTCTGGTCTCCCAGGGCACCTTCGTGTCTAAGTGTATAGTAACTCGTATACACTAGTAAAAAAGAATAAGATAAAAAAACTAAAAATGAGGAGGTACACCTGTCTAGGTTGCTACACATGACTGGTCTTGTCTGCTTTGGGTCCTCCTCACCACCACCAATCAACGAATTAAAAGGCAGGAAAAATCTCGCTGCAGCCAGCGCAGCCTGGAGAGCCAAGACTGGGGTGTGTGTGTGGGGGGGGAGGTGTTTGCCTGGATTGAGATAGGGAGGCTTCTTTTCAGGTGGAAGAACAGCAACCTTTATTTTGCCCAGCAACCTTTTATACCTCTATTCCTTCTGTGGAGACCCACCGGCCAGAAAGAACACAAACATCCTTGTCAATTACAGACCACAAGGACGTTTTGCTGGCAGTCAGGGGGAGTGAGGGCAGCTGGATCACAACAATCTCACAGGGTGAAGAAGCACACAGCAAGGCGTAGAGAGTGTGTCCCCACAGGGCGGCAAGGTGTGGGGAGCGTCCCCACAAAGCGGAGAGAGGGCTCAGGGATACCGAAGTCCAACCCCTTGGGCCGGATGTACAGTGTGATCCAGGATGTGTCCAGGTGTCACCCACGCTGGGACAGGCTTCGATGATACAGGTGCCTTTGACTCATTTCTATTCTTGTAAGTAACCTCTCACCCACACTCCTGTGAGTAACCCCAATAAAATTCTTTGGTTCACCAGATTGGACTTTGGTCTGTTGTGGGTTCCCTGGGTTCCCTATCTGGAGTGAGTAGATCTTGGGTGGCAGCTCCGCAGGAACTTTGTCACATGACACAAACAGCCATTGCAGGCCCTGCTAGCAGGAGGAAAAGACTTCCAGGCTGTTATCTCGGCCATGAGGGTGAGAAAGCTTCGGATCTCCACTGTCTGTTAGGCAGAATTTCCCTGTCTGTCCGCCTGCCTGTCTAGCTCCTAGTCACTCGCTGGCATTTGGCTCCCCAGAGAGGTGGACATTGCCACCCCCACTTTCCAGGTGATTCCAAGAGACCTCATTACAGAAGTAAATTTGAACCCAGGTCTCAGGCTGCTGCCTCGTTTTTGCTTGTTTCTTGAGGTGCTTGGGAAAGGGTACCAGGGACTCCAGCATGCTGGGCAGGTGCTCTACCACTGAGCCACACCCCTAGTCCTTGATACCGTGGCGGGAGAGGGGGGTAGGAACTGACCAGGTTCTGGCTGCTTCGTGGAGATTGCGTCAGCCGTCTGGGTCGTTGAAAACTCAGGCGAGCCGGTGTTGTGCCAGTTATTTCTGCCCTACTCCTCCTGTCCCTAGAGGTGACTGAGAGTTGGGTCCTAGCAACAACCTAGAGGTATGCCCTGGGGCTCTCTGGGGGCGGGGCGGGGAGAAGCCCGTGAGGACCAGCCTAGGGAGAAGCCTGTTGCTGCAGTTGCCTGGAACCTGGAGAAACTAAAAGGCAGATAAGCAGGAAAGCATCCAAGAAGAAAGGCTGGTAGGGTAGGAGGGGAAACGGGAGTTTTCAAATGAGCTTGCCGTTCACAACCTGAACTCAGCCTCTCAGGACCAGAGACCGGGATGGTGAATTTCTGTGGCTCTGAAACCCACGGGACTTGGAAGGAAGATCTACCCCTTAGACAGTGAAATTGCTACTCTCAGAGGAACAGGAAGATGGCTGTCCAGGTTCCCAGAGAAGCAGACCCGGGAAGCTGCTCAGAAGTGGGTGAGCCAGCTACACCAGCAGGTGAGAGCAGCCAAGCAGGTTCTGGGAGATAATAAACCACATACATTCACTCTCCTGAGCCCCGCGGCTGAGAAGGTTCCTTTTCGTCTGGATGAGGTAACTCCAAGTAGCCCTCAAAAAAGGGACCTGCGGGTCAGAGGATCAAGGGGTAACCTTGGTTCCTGTCTCCTGTACTTAAATAGATACTCAAGTATTTGCATATATTTGTGGCCAAGACAGTGTTATTTTTGCTAAGAACTGGGACATGTAGCTTGACCTGTGTCTTAATCTGTGGAGTTAGAGCTCCATGGGCTGGAGTCAGTGTTGGAGCACTTGGCTAGCATTGGCTAATAGCCTCTGGTCATGAGGAACTGAGTCAGGCTGAACTGAGAAATAGCCCCTAACCATCAGGGGTTCCTTGGCTCCAGTCAGATTGTTTGGCTCCATCTGCAGAAGCCATATACCCTGTATGGAAAATGACCCACTCTGTTCCCCGTCAAACCACAGAAAAAAGAGCTGTAACTCCTGATAGCTCCTTATGTATACATAGTAGCCTGCCCCCAGTCCCTCTAAATGCACTCAGCCTTCATCCCTGGGAGAGGTTGAGGCCCCCAGTAGTCCCAGTAACGCCTTCTTTGCTTGCTGAATTCCAATCTGTCTGCCTCTCTGCCTCATTTTCTTACATCTGTTGCAGAAACCTGAGATCTTTTTAGGGTCCTTCTTCCTTGGGGACATTCCTCTGGGGACATGGATGTTATGCCCAGATCCGCGAAGTCCCCCAAAAACCAACAAGGAGACCGAGTCCCGTACGTAAAAGTAAAGAGTCTTTATTTTATACAAGTTTGCAAACTCAGTCTCTCCGCATGTCCATCATATTTGAATAAATGCAGAGCCCCGAGCTCTGTTAGAGTTGAGTTAGAGTAAAGGTGGGGGTGAGGGGTTTCTAAGGTTCAGGACCTCTGATTGGCTGACATTTGTCTAGGGGTGTCCTGGTGAATGTGTACTGGCAGTGAGCTTATCTACAACAGTTGAAACCTTAGCCATTTCCTTTGGATGGTGTGTTCCTGGTTGGTACCTGGGCAGTCTCTGGTTATGGTCCTTCCAGCAACCAAGTATTGCTTCAGGGTAAACTACTGAGACTCAGGCCTCCATTAAACTCATCAATGGCTAAATCCTGCACGGGCCGGTGATAATGGTTGGAAGTAAAGAACTTCCTTTGGGTTGTCTGTTTCTATTTAACTCATCATGGCTGGCTCCTACAATGGACACCCTTAAGCTTGCTATACAGGCCAAAGAGCCGCCAGTCTGACCGAGACCTCTGGTCTTTTGCGGCCTCTGCCTCCGAGAGTAAGTAGTGCAAGCAAGTCCCACGGACGGAACTTTGGTTCCCAGGGCTTTATTGATGCCCTGTGTACACCCAGCTCGACTCTTCCAAGTCCTCCCCAACCATCTTCCTCTGTCCCTTCCTCTCCCTTTCACAGTTTGATCAC